TCATGGCAATGGATCCGAACATTCTAGCCTCTTCTTGTGTCAGATCCTGGATCTCCCCAATTAGATACTTCTTCAAGCCCATGATCCACGACTCCTCGTCCTGCGCTTGTCGGATCCGCTCGATCCGTAGCTCTCTCACGACTTCCTCTCGTAAGGAGTCTGGATCAGATCCCACACGTGCCCCCGATCTAGCCTTAGATCGGGTCGTCACTGCTGATACCTGTGCGATTTCTTCTTCGACCTTTCACTATCAGGATCTCATCCAGCCTATTTAAAGTTAGGAGATCCTGGATCTCTGCATCTGACTCTATCTCGATCCCGCATTGCCGCTGTAGAGCAGCACTAGCTAGGCTGTCAGCACTCCCATTCCAGTCCCGTTTAACGTGCAATAATTCATGATCTGGCCATGTACGTAGTCGATCCAAGGCTCGCTGACGTAACAGTGTCAGACCTGGCGCTTTACAGTCGATCTCTCCTCGTACTTGTCGGATCACCAGGTTTGAGTCTCCGCAGATCACCAGACGCTGTGGATCCAGATCCTCCAACAGATCCAGACATAGTAACAACCCATGGTATTCTGCCTCATTCACCGTCAAGCCTTCGGCATACCCTGATCTAGCTTTCAACACTCTCCATTCGGTTCGGGCAGCCTCCACAGGATCGCGCTGTAGGCGCCCCCACCCCGCTTGACACGGGCTGATCCATCGAAACTGACGACATATAGTTCCTCATCTCGTCAGATGGTGGGGATCGGAGCTTGGATCTTGCGTCTTGGCTCCTTTTTGGGCGCGATCGAGATCAACGCCTTATCCACTTCTGATCTAGGAGTGATACTGGCTGCCAGTGCTCCCAAGATCTCGTCCTCTCCTTTGACACACTTGGTGATCTCAAGTGTCCAGGGCGACAGCAGGGCCGCCCATTGTCCTAAACGTCCTTGTAAGGCCGTGGATCTGAATAGCCACGCCAATGTAGAGTGTCGGGTTAACACACAGATTGGACGTCCGACCAACGTATTGTAGTTGAGATCCAGGATCCTCAGAAGGGCTAATACCTCCTTCTCCGCGATGCCGTAATTCAGCTCATTCGACTTCAGAGTACGGCTGGAAAACGTCACAGGATAGTAGATCTGGTCGTGTTCCTGCATCAGTGCTCCCGAGATGGCCCAATCACTAGCGTACGCCACCACTATGGCCTCCATCTCTGGGTCAAAATGTCGTAAGATCGGGGTAGTAGCGATCCTGGTTTTGAGCACGTCGAAGGATCGATGGGCATGGATCGAACGTGGATCTACCTCCATAGGATCAGGCGCCTCCGGATCCAAAGTTCTTTGGTGGTCGACATCCCGATCTTCCTGTGATCTTGGATCTACGCCTTCTGTTTCCAGTATTTGTTGGATCCGCCCTTGAGTCGTCTCTTTCGCCATCGCAGCAAAGTCGATTTCTCGCAATTCGTACAGAACCGACGCGTAGATCGCGTAGTCTTCGATAAATCGGTTATAATAGTTCAGACTCACCAGAAATGATTGCATAGCTCTGAGTGATCCTGGAAAGGCTAGATCAGTTAATGCAGACAGATCTTTCGGATTCGCCTCCAGTCCGTTGTGCGAGACCTTATGTCCAAGGTATTCCACCTTGGGCATCCCCCAGAAACTTTTAACCACGCTGATCGACAGGTTCCATTTGTCACATGTTTCGAGCAACCCCTCGACTCGATCACATAGTTGATCCCCACTATTAGCGGTGATCAGGATGTCATCGATATATGATATGCGACCAAGCACCGAAGGCCTACCTGGATCCACCGGTTCCCCGTCCTCAAATACATCCGTAGTACTTCCGCCCGTGATCTTCAGACTTTGGGATCCGGGTGAATCCATACAGCGCGTTATCGATCACGCGTTGATAAATCTGGGGCGCATTCTTTAGACCAAAAGGCATTCGATTCCACTCAAATAGTCCAAAAGGAGTGACAAAAGCCGAGATCAAACGAGCACGATCCGTCATTTTCACTACCCAAAATCCACTTG